TCTTCTGAAGAAATGTCATAAATATAATATAATAAATTTATAGAAGTCCCCGTCTGCGTTCATGTTTCTTATCTGTCGGCGTTATAACGCCCAAGTTTCGCGTTTATTCGCGAAAGTTTCGATTTATAACGCGAAAGTTACGCGTTTATTAGCGAATTTTCGCGTTATAACTACAAAAATGAGTTCAATGGGTTTTCGTACTTTGGACTCTTTCATATGGAAATACTTCAAAATGCTAATATTTTTGCGTACGATTTTCAATTTCATTTGTTTATTGTTTGCTCTCACCTTATACTAAGGTAGGTGACACTAGTAAAATCTCCTATACACTACATATCTAAATGTTGAGTTGAATTAAGGTGACAGAATTATATACATTTATTTGTCATTTTGTACACACACGGTGACAGAGATCGCGTCATCAAGCCAACACTGACTAACGTCTAAATGAAAATAAATATTGTCGATCGATAAAACGTCGATGTATCAAAAAATCTTATAATTGAAGGTCACAGCAAGATACTTCTTTTCATGTAGAAAATTTTGAATAAATTATAAGAGTACAGAAAAGTCTGTTAATCAAGGGACAATGTCAGAGTTAAGACATCAAGCGAAATGGTTGGGATACTATAACTAATCTTCAAAGACTAGAAAGGAACTCAAGCATCTTTTAAATATCATCTTATGTGTCATATTATGAGGACTTGTGTGTGGAACCAATATACTTTGTAAATACAGATTCTGAATTGTAATATCAAATTTCTAATTTGCCACTTCAAATTTCTAATTTGTAATTTCCAATTTATAATTTGTATTTTCAAATTTCTAATTTGCATTGTAAAAACAATTAAGAAAAAGGCACTGGTGCGGCCCTCAGACTTCAAACAAGTTCATGTGAGATATTCATATCCTTTGGCACATGATCAAATCTTTCTTTTCTTTTTTTTTAAATGTTTGCATCTTGGTCAAATTGTAGGCACGTAGAATCGATATTTCAAGTGAGGGGCCGACTAACAAAATACTTGACAACCAAAAAATAAGGCGGGGGACACCTCCCCAAAGCACAATCCCTCTGAATTCGTCAGAGAATTGAAAACTAATCAAATCTGGTGTTAACGAGGACATATATATTCTATAGTGGAGTTTAATACCCACGACAAGATAGTCAATACAGACCTTTAAATATACATATTGTACCTTTAATCGCAACTACCTTGACTATCGAACAAAAACATTACGTGTAGATAATTTTAGAAATCTCATTATATGCACACTTTATGCAATGGCGGACAGATGCGCATCGAAAGTAAGTCGAATTTTGTTGATCATATTAGAACTAAAATGAGAAAAAAGTTACACAAAGATGTTATTTGCTTAAATAATATAGTACTTAGAATGTAGAGAAAGAGAAATGAACATCGTTTAGAAGTGAGGAACGCAGTCCTGTTACTTTCGGTTTCATATGATTTTTTTTTAAACCTTTATATCCCTAAAAATCTTTTCGATGTAGGTAACGTTTTCTTTGTTCGTTAATGATAACAGTTGCGATATTGTAGAAAAACAGATAACCCGCAATGGTTCATCCATTAATCCCCACATTAATAAAGAAAGACATTTTATTGTTATAATCTGTGTAATTTATTCTTACAGAGAGGTTGAAGGTAAATATTGTTCAAAATGAAATATATGGAGATAACGAACAGTATTCAAGCTCAAAAGTCCATTAAACGATACAAAATAGGAGCAGAGCAAACACGGACCTCCAAAACATCAGAGGTGGGATCAGGTGCCATGGAGGAGTGAGCATCCCCGGCCGATCGGTCACACCCGCCTTGTGGTCCTTGTCATGATCGGGAAATAACGGAAAAATCCGTCGACAATTTAGTGTGTAAATAATGGCCTAACAATTAGTATGAAAAACGTCAGTCAGCATTTGACTCAATAATAAATTGTATTTGCTGACAAGGTCATTGTATCGACCATAGAACTTACGAAATGATGACTTTAGACGAGACTGCGGATATTCTTGTTTCATCAACTTGTTTGTCAATAATTTACCTCGTTTTAGAAATTGTACATACGTAGAGCATGCTCTTGCATATCGAATCAACTGAGAGATATAAATCCTGTATACAGGTAATGAAGGTATATTGCTGCATAAGTAAGGGAAGTTGACGATTGAAAAGTTAAAGTCATCACGTTTATCATAAAGCTTGGTTGTTAGATTACCATTAACGTCTTTTTCAAGTAAAATATCCGAATATGAAACAGATGTGTCAGACTCTGTGGTATCTTTTATCTCAAGCTCACCGGGATAAATCGTATCGACATAAGAATAGAAATAACCATTGTTAATTGACAATTCGTCGTCGATATATCTAAATGTCGAGTTGAAGTCCACAGCAAATGTTTTTCTTCTTTTCACGTATAAGATTTTGGACAAATTCTGCTTCATATGAATATAAAAAACAGGTCTGCTAATAACGGGGCGCAATTGGAACCCATGGTAATTCCAATAGATTGTTGGAAGACCTGGTCTCCAAAAACTACATAGATATTGTCAATCAAAAACTCAAGCATCTTTTTAATGTCAACTTCAGAGTTTTTGTGTGTACAATCAGAATGTTTTTTAACAAAATAATTTTGCAAATGACCAATGACAAGGTAAGTAAATTTACGAGTTCCATTTTTATTGAAAAAGCAGCTGTCAATGATATAAAAAAGCCTGGATTTTAATTTATCGTGGGGAATGGTTGTGTATAAAGTTGAAAAGTCGTAAGTTTTTAAGCTGTTGATTTTGGTAAAATCTTGTGATCTCAAATTTTCCAAAAATTCCTTGGAATTTTTAAGTATCCACATCTGATTTACACCACTTCTCGAATATATTGTTGCACAGTACTGTTGAAGTTTCTCCTTCACTACTCTTAATATCTTAGTAAGGAGTAAAGAAAGATGCTTGGTTGAACATTTACTGGAACCCGCTATGTATCTTTGTTTGGAAGGATTTTTATGAAGTTTCGAATCCAATATAGATATGGTAATTTAAATTCATTTTGGTTGTTTGGAATATTAAAAATATTCAAAACTGACATATGATTTTGAAGAATTTCTTCCAGTTCAGTTTATTCGCCCAAACCAAAATATTGGTACATGGGTACTTTAATAACATATATACATTTCAAACAGATTGGTCAGAGATGCAAAAACTATATGTTTACAATACAAAATATGATACAAAATGAAAAGAGAGAGAAAGAAAAAAATAAATGAAATATATCAAGGAGGACAGACAGCGTCATACACTTTTAGGATAAACAAACTTAATTTTTTTTTTTTTTTTTAGGATTTTTTCGTTTTGAGTTGACATAAGTTCCGTAAATTTAATAACATTCGGTCTGTGAGAATAATAATTACCCAGATTTTTTTTTCGTACATTAGCTAAAGATTTACATTCTAGAATATAATGAAATTCATCACCAATTTGACCATTATTACAAAGTGTACAAATTCTTTCAGATAACGGTATACCATACCATCTTCCAGTTTCTATTGGTAAATGATGATTTGTAGTGCGAAATTTCAAAAGTATTTTTCTAAATTTAGGGGATAATTAAAAAAAAAAATTTTCAAATCCAAAGTTTTGTTTAAAGATTCTGTAATTTTGTGCTTATCTATTATATTTCAACAAAGGGTACCTTGTATTTACCCCCCAGGAAAAATGTTCGAAGACAATGAAGTACAGATGAACAGAAATCACTGTTGTTTACTTAAGTGGGCAAATACCTGCAAATGAAGTGTTCAATCTATTCATCTTGCCTATTAAATGTCAGAACGCTTGATTTGATCATAAATGAAGTAATAAACTGTACATTTCAATTTATTTTGTTCTAGGTCAATGGGCAGATTACTCTATCTGCATAAAAATACCACAAAATTAGAACTTTCTAGTGTGCAGTGTATAGAGGGCTCTTAAAACTCTCCAATTTGACCGGAAATTTCCATTTTCATGGAACAAAGTAAACAAGCTCAGACCATCTTTAAAAAAATGTTAGGAATTTTTTTTTTTTTTTTTTTTTAACTTACGAATGTGAAGTTAAAATAGTAATTATTATGATGAGGACATTTCGGAATGAGAAAAAGAAATGTTTCCTGGAGGTTGAAAAAAAAGTTTTGAGTCGGGGCGTTTTTAGTATGTCGGCGACCGACAAACAAACAATTTTTTGAAGATGGGTTCACCTGATTTACTTCCTTTGTATAATTACTAGCATATCTAGTTTCTTACTCGAAAACACTCACGACCTTATATCATTCTAGCCCTAAGGATACGACACTTTCTAAGTCAATTTTCTCCAAATGCACGACTCTCGTCACCGTTTTAAGAGGGGCCCGCGTGTCCTGGTAAGGAGGGGGGAGGGTCCAAGAATTTTTTCGTTATTTTAACAGAGAAACTTAATAACTGAATTAAATCAGGGGCGGATTCTAGATCAGATTTTATCTATACAGAGAATATCTTATCGCTATATTAGAAGTGAATATTGTAGAAGGTAAAAATTTTTGGTGGACTTTTGGATTGGACAGGAAAAAGCATGCCTTTTAGAATTTTAGAATTTGAATTTATATCGACCGTGTTTCAAAAATCAAATCGGGATATTTTGAATATTTGAAGTAAAATTCTAAAAACTCACAATGTAAAAAGTGTTCTGGTTATTTAAGGTTTGAGTGTTTGAATCAAACTTGTAAATTTCTAAAAATCTAAAACGTTTTGAAAGATATAAAATGCTTGGAACCCAGATGACAACTTAGGCCTGTGGGCCTTTTGTTTGAACGATCTGTTTTCTGCTATTCAGAGAGATAGTAGTTTGATTTGTTTTTTGCATTTCGATCTTTTTGTGTGTTGAATATTGATCAATGGTTAAATAGACATATGGCTATACTTTCATTATTATTGACATTCTAGAATTGATAATTTTCAACACATGAAAGACATAAAGAAAGGCACATGAGAAAAGGAATAACATGTAGTAAGTGAAGTTTTTTTTTAATAAATCTAAAATTAGTGTTGCAACATTCCTACATCTTCATTTGTACTTAATTTCCTTTAATCTACCTGACAAAGTATACATGTATATGTATCTCATTTAAAAAGTTCGTTTGATTTTCATTCCGCTTATTTGCCTGCTATCATTGACTTATTATAAAGTTACCGAAAATAAGTTTCTCTTCTTCAGACACATTTCGACACCAATGGAAGGACTTTTTATAATAACGCTACTGTTCTTGGTAAGTGTGTTGCACTTTACAGATATTAATATGTATTTTCTCTGATAATGATAAGCTAGATATACTGATACCTTCCTCAATTAAATCACACATTTTGAAATCATCAAATCTAATTATTAGTAGCGATACTTTATTAAGTTGTCCTATTGCAGAGTTCTCTATCCGTCCCGTTACCAAAATGGGTACACAGAGTAAAATCCTGTCCAGAACCAAACAATATAACGGAATGGATAGAGGCCTCCAAACAATTGAATTGTCTCTATGATTTGACTTCAAAAAAACCTGAAGAGCAAGGGATGATCTACCATTGTCTAGCTAGTACTTATCTCAATGAATCTGTGGAATTTTGTGGAAGAAGTGTGCCTATTGCACCAGGTAGACTGTTTTCTCTTGTAATCATTCGAAACTATTCATGGATATTTTTTCTAACTTTCTTGATTCTGCATGTAAATACACATCTGCTTTGAAAAACATAAATCTTTGAAAATTATGTTAGAAAGTCCGATATTAGGTACCTTGTGCAGTACAAATACAATTACTTTCTTTGTTTCCAGGAAATTGCCCAATTTACAACTACATGTTTTCAAGTAACAAAGCACCTAGTTATTACAACTGCTCAAAATTTTTGAACGGATGTCCAAATAAGATGATCCATTCAAAAGAAGTTTACAAACGTAAGTACAATTATCGTGAACATGTGGGCGATAATTTCTAGTTTCATTCAGAGGCTACTGATTCAAAACGTTTTGATAACTTGTTTCCTTTGTAGACCCTGATTGTCTGAGTATTAATCCAGAAAAGAAATGTTTCCGTGCGGATGCAAATTGCGAAAAGGAAACAAAAAACAAGTAATAAAATCTCTTTACATTGGGCTATGATTGGACTTCGAAAAATTCCTGTCCAATGCTTCATTAAATACATTACAAATATTCTTTCTTTTTTAGATCTGCTCTTTCAATAACAAACCAAACAGGAGACACTACACTGAATGATACAGTTTTCATGTAAGAACCGAATGGCTTGTCAAAGGCGAAAAAAATACACTGTTCTGGTGAAAGATTTTATTTTGAATTACATTTACATGTAATAGGAAATATGTTTGCTTAAATAAATTAATCCTCCTTCTGTCTAAGCTTGGTTTATTCCCCAGCTAAATGCGATCAGAATACACCATTAATACAAATATTTTCCTTAAAAACATTGATGAATTTGAGAAAAGTAAACTTTTTAATATAGTCACTCTTGTCATGTGATTTTTCTCTTTCTACTACATATTATTGAGACAGATAATTTGTACAGCTGCTGATGTTCAGTAAAGTATGATCAAACGAATCATTTGAATACATTTATATAACATTACCTTAGCATTACACATTGTACCGGTATTTTTTTTATGGTACATAGACAAATTTTCCTATACATGTATTCATGTTTGTCTGTTTGCTGCAAAACCATTTTAATTTATGTATGATTTTTAATTAAATTTTAAACAGTGTTGGATCATTGGAAAACGAGACAAAACCTGATGAGAAAAAAGAACATATAGTGCCCGAAAGGCAAGTTAAAGTCATTATAATTTTTCTTATATGTTTTAAAATAAAAGAGAAACATAGCAACTAATAAAATAATGAATAACTTTTTTTTATTTTTTAAAAAGTCGGTTTTGAAATGATTGTGCCGAATCCATGTGCGAAATTGACCTTTTATTATTGTATTCACTAACATATATGTCTTAAAGTGTAAATGGTATGAACTTTGCTTAAAGATGCCGTTACATTTAAAGAGAATGTATTAGTATGAGAGACCGATTATTTCTAAATTGTATTTATACCTGGTGCTATGTGGCAACGCACTTTGAAAAAATTACGCACCTTAAAAATTTTTTTCAAAGTGCGTTAAAATTGGAACAAAATTTTCAAAGTGCGTCAAAGTTGGGGACAAAGTCAACGCACTTTGACATTATTTTTCAAAGTGCGTTACACTTAACGCATTTTGAAAAAAATATGTATAAAACAAAACCCCTGGACTTAGATTTTAGTAATAAACAGCATTATTTTGTTATATTTCTTCGAAAAACTTATGGATTGATCTACCCTCATTGAGAACGAGGACAAGACAGGTAGAGGGTCCCTCAGCCCAACTCTTAATCCTTCTACCCAAATATATGTATTTAACTGGTATTGATATACTTTCTCTCAATAAATTTGAGTTAACGTACAATAGATGAAAAAATTGAGATAAGCTTTCTTTGGAAAAAAAAAAACGCACTATATTATATTAAGGAAGAAATGCTCAGGGGCCAAATCGCTGATCTAAGCAACAATAGCCAACTGACTATGCTTTGGCCAAAGTAGCTTAACAAAATCAAATACAAATCAAGGGGGAAAAACTTGTATGAAATCCATATTTTCCCCCATACTTCTTACTACTGATCAATAGATAGATAGATGAATATGAGAGAGAGAGAATAAAATTTTAATTGCTCCCTTTTCCCTCCAAAAAGCGATGTTTTAAGTCACTAATACCCCTACATCTACCGAACTTATTACAGACTTGATAAAATTAAAAAAGAAACGAAATAGTGCTATTAAACAATCATTCCTCCATTATTTCTAAAAGGTCCATTTCCCTATTATAACATTTACGAGAAGCTTTGTGAACAAAACCTTTAAAACGTCTATATCTTAGATCCTGAAGTGACGTCATCACCGAAAAATTGTCCAATCAGGTTCAAATAATTATTTATCATGCCTAAAATTTGCAAGAATATTGACCAAGCCGTGCACATTTTATTTCAATATTTCCAACAACCAAAATGAATTGAATTACCATATCTTTACTGGATTCCTAAACTTCATAAAAATCCTTACAAACAAAGATACATAGTGGGTTCCAGTAAATGTTCTACCAAGCCTCTTTTTTACTCCTCACTAAAATATTCACTGTAATGAAGGAGAAACTTCAGGAGTACTTTTCACCAGTATATTCGAGAAGTGGTGTAAATCAGATGTGGATACTTAAAAACTCCAAAGAACTTTTGGAAAATTTAAAATCACAAAATTCTACTAAAATCAATAGCATCAAAACGTACGACTTTTCAGCACTTTATACAACCATTCCCCACGACAAATTGAAGTCCAGGCCTTTTGACATCATAGACAGCTGCTTTTTCAATAAAAATTGAATCGTAAATATACTTACCTTGTCACTGGTCATTTACAAAATCATTTTGTTAAAAAGCACTCTGATTGTACACACAAGTACTCTGAAGTTGATATTAAAAAGATGCTTGAGTTTCTGATTGACAATATCTATGTAGTTTTTGGAGAGCAGGTCTTCCAACAATCTTTTGTAATTCCCATGGGTACCAATTGACGAAGCAAGGATATCAACATCTCGTCTGAAGTCATCTTTTCGCAAGTTTTTCGGTCGATACAATGACCTTGTCAGAACATACAACCTGTCATTGAGTCAAATGCTGACTGACGTTTTTCATACTGATTGTTAGGCCATTATTTATACACTGAACTGTCTACGGATATTTCCAGTTTTTGTTTCCCGGTCAAGACAAGGAGCGCACGGCGGGTGTAGCCGGTCGGCAGGGGATGCTCATTCCTCCATGTCACCTGATCCCACCTCTAAATTTTGAGGTCCGTGTTTGCTCTGCTCCAAATTCGTATCGTTTCATTGGACTTTCGAGATTGAATACTGTTCGTTATCTTCATATTTCATTCAAAGTGCCCTAATATGGTCGATATTAACGCACGTTGAAAAGATATATATATTTTTCATAGTGCGTTAACTGGGTCCAAAATTTAACGCACTTTGAAAAAAAAAAATTAGAAGTGCGTAATTTTTCAAAGTGCGTTGTAACAGTGCCATATAATGCCAAAGTAGAGCCTTTTTTATTTAATCTGATCCTTGCTATAAAAAGCTGTACGCGATTGAGTATTGAACATTATACCATTCTTGCTATTTTTAAAAAGAATTAATACGATGATTTAGCATTCAGAGGAGTGCAATGATCACCCAGCCGAAGGAACCTTTGAGATCTCGTACAGATTAACATAACTTAGTATGATTTCAAAATGTTGGATCTCGGCTAGACTGAGAGCTGAGAATTATTCAATCATATAATAAAATAACTTATTTTAATATCCATAAAAGAGACATGTAACACAAAAGATTAACCTTAATTCTCTTCTGCTGTTGTTTTTGTCTAATTTCAGGAAGAAAAAAATGACTTCGATGTATCTCTTTCATATTTAAGTGATCATTCATGATGATAAGAAATAGGATTAAAAGTTTATTCAATTCGTTATCAATCTTTGATAGTTTTTAATTAAGAAGTGAATATTTTAGTACTTTTCATCAGTAACCAACCAGTAATATTTTCCCATACAAGGAGAGCCAGCTTACAGTATATACAATAGTAATACACTATTAGTAGTCATGTAATAAATGTACGTATTTTTGTAAATAATATACCTTGAGAAAATACGTTCATTTTATAACTGCTAATAATATTATATAAATAGTGCACGTTTTTGAGGGTAACAGTTGAAATTGACACCCCAAGGAAAACCATTGTCAACCGACGCGTCAGCGGAGGTTGACAATGGTTTTCCGAGGGGTGTCAATTTCAACTGTTACCCTCAAAAACGTGCACTATTTATTTTATTATACTGAATGCCTTATTGATTTCGGATGTCATTAAAAAATTCGGAGATCGTCGTTAACTTCACGGTTAGAAAGCTTTCAAACTCCCCGCTTCTATTTTTCTCAATAGGAAAGCTTCGTAAAAAGATTTACCAACCTCTTTATTATTTGTTTGCTACTCAGAAGTCCTTTATCACCTAAAGTTTGCACTCGCAAGGATGTTTCGTCTGTCGTTTGTCTTTTTCAAGTAAGCTACATCGGACGCAAGCTTTTATTGACGTCGTTTATTCGGCTTCTTTCAAACGCACAACCGACGTTTTGAGAATTCTACGGTGAACCGTACGCGCATGATTTGAACGCATGTGATATTTTCGTAATGTTACCCGTTGTCAAGTGTGTTGCTAACGCTGAGGGTAATATTACGGATTGTTAAATGTCTCTAAACCAATCAGATTTTAGTATTTAACATGAAAGTATAATAAATTATTATAACAGATTGTATTACTAATAGATTTTTTTCTTCTTTATAGAGACATGCTCTGGATGTTACCGGTCGGGGGTCTTATTGGAGTTATTATTACAGGCATTGTTGTAACTATTACCCGAAGAAAAAAACTAATACAGTTTTTCAGTATGTATTTATAAAGTAGTGTGAATATTTAAGGTTACCAGCCTTCTTTAAAGATGTTTGAACTGCAGCATTACCATTTTAGAAACAATTCGGATGAAAAAAACACGCATGGTTGATAATAATGATGATGCAACACAAGTGAAATTATGTAAGTTTCTTTTCTTATAGTTTATCTTATTTTACTTTGAAGCATATTTATGTTATTCATAAGATTGTATGTTGTTTAATGTCCCATTCGAGAATTTTTTCACTCATATAGAGACGCCATCAAAGACTACGTTTTAAAGGGCTTCAAATTTAGACCTTTACTCGGCACTCAGGGCCATTGAGCAGTGAGGGATCCTTATCGTGCCAACGCCTGTCATGACACGGGGCCTCGGTTTTTAAGGCTGTATTTCATTTCCGGATTTTTTTGAAATTTTTAATTTTTCATTTCCGACATTTTATAGTTTTCATTTCCGACATTTTCAAGCTTTCATCTCCGACATTTTTCAGGTAGTACTTTTTGGCATTGAAAGCAGGATTGAAGACTTCACTTACAAACATTTTAAATTTGAACAAATCATGAATGTATCTTTGAAATCCAAATAAAGAATTTTGCCTTGCTATCAATGAAGTGAAAAATAAAAGATTTTTTTTTCTTTCCCTGAGGCACTTGTAAATGTTGTGAACTTTTGCTCTTCTCCTTTTCAAATGTTCAGTTTAAGTTTGAAATTAAATATGTTAGGATGGAAATTATAAGGCATATTTTGAAAATGTGGTTTGAAATAAAATCTTTAAAAATTCCATTTCCACCTACTTGGTTAACATTAAATTGCCAAAGAGGTACCCTGCAAAAATTCCGGAAATGAAAAAAATGTCGGAAATGAAAATAAAAATTGTCGGAAATGAAATTAAAAAATGTTGGAAATGCTATGCAAAATTCCGGAAATGAAATGCAGCGGTTTTTGAGGTCTCATCCTAAAGACCCGCAACTTTCACTTCAAAGTGCCGAGCGCTTGGCGAAGGAACAGTTGCTACCTTTTTTTTCCACTCAAGTTAGTTGCGACCGGGGTTTGAACCGATCAGGGAGCGAGCCCTCCACCGACCGAGCCAAGAATGGAAATTCTTATTAAAGATATACTTTAAGTGAATTCTTAGATAATTTTCAAAGGTATATGTAAAATGAATAAATCTAGAAAACTGACGAAGTGATTTCCTTTACGGAGAGGAAATGCATGTTGGATTCTAGTCCGGTGTTTTATATCTTATGATTGAAAATTTTTTTGAAGCAATTTAATGCTGAATACAGAGGATACATGTACATGCACTTGTGCTACGTATCTTTTTTAGTCCCTAATCCGTGAAATTGGGGTAACTACATGTATATGCTACATCTCCGCTTTTTTTAAATGACAAATCTAGCTGCGCTGTGGAACTTAAGTTATATTTAGAGTACGAGTTCCCTACTGTATCGGAGATACAGGGCGGGGCTTAAGGCGAGAGCAATAGCTCGAGCCGGGCCCCGCCCTGTATCTCCGATACGGTAGGAAACGAGTATTCTAAATGACTTGTGACATGACCTTTCTTATGACCTCGCTAATTTACATGTGTATTTGGGTATATATCTCTCAACCAATCAGATGATTTTGCGGAAAGTTGATTTAGTACCCCATTTTTAGCAATCGCAACTGAAATGCCGAGTGAGGTGGACGTGCAGGTATCTAAAATAATTATAATTATGAGATGCATTATATAATGTGTTTTCCCAAAATTTAATTTATATTTGATTGCGTAGGTTTTTTCCTTTCTATTTAGCTCTTGCTGACTTTTTTTTAAAATCTAAGCTACGAATTTAGTGCAAAACATTTTGATACATAGGAATCATATATGGGAATGTATTTAAAGCAAAAATGTTTCGGGTAGGTTGTATTCTGAGAGAAATGTCCCGACAATGTCTATCTTTTCTTTAGTGAGCATTTTGAAAAAACAGGATTCCATATCATGGTTCAAAGTTTTACAAAGAACTATTAAAAAAGTTTTCTCAAGAAATGCAACGTTTCAATTTATCTAGAATAATATTTTCTTAATTAAATTGGGTTCATACTGAGACCACAGAGTCCCAAGAGAGATATATAGTTAACCTTGTAAGTCTTTGTGCTACGAGCAGTAGATATTTGTTTTTCCAAATGTGTTTGATATTTGGCACCAGTTGCTAGAGATTCAACGTTTTCAGACACACTGCAGTTCTTTTTTGCAAAATTATTCAAATAGAATAAATGTACATTTATTAAAAAAAATATATTATTGATTCAGAATACTTGTACTCGAAGAAATCTGAACTTAAACTGTATACTGAAAAAAATTAATTAACTTCATTTTTAAAGTGCCCGTCATAGAGATGACGAACAACAATCCAACAGATAATGACAGCGACACTGACAATACAGCCAGCAAGGGAAGCGACTCTGCTATAGCGACAATGGATTCAGATTCAGGTAAAGAATATCAACTCACATTCTAGATAAGCTCTCTAAATTTCATCTATTTCCTTCATCACCGAAAATTCAACGAAAATATCGTGCGTGATGTGAAAAAAACTGCTCTTTTTTATTTGATATGCACAGATTTTAACAGCACTATTCTGTGAATTTAAAGATGCGTAATACATATCAAATAATAAACTGCATAGAAGCACACATTTTTTATACAACGCAATTTCCGGCGTTTGAATTGTAAATCACGAAATTAGGTCTCAAAAATATCTCTGTATGTGTTCAGTAACACAAAACTAAGGTCATGAAATGACATATTTCAAGTTGTTCGAAAGATGTGAATAATATTGCTCTGTATTTTCCTAGAAAACCCATGTTTTGTGTTAATTTTCATCATTTTATAAACATGAGTCTATGACTAACCTGTACAAAAAATTGTAAAGAGGAATCGTTTGTATTACCTTAATTGTGCCTTACATCCTAAAATTGAATGAATAGATTTATATTAGCATCTTGGAAAATCAATCTAACAACAACTACTGCTTTCATATTTAAGAGAGTAAAACTGAAAATATGAAAAAAAAACTGCTCCAGTAACTAGTAAATAGTGTCATAAATTGATCTAAGGTATGTATCAATACTTCAGAGAAAAATGAAGATAATTGTGATCCAATAGCTTTGCACGAAGAAACTGAAGAAAAGAGAAGAATTTCAAACAAGGTGAAAGAAAGAGATGAGAAAAGAAGAGCTAACCAAAAGTCATGTGACATCAAAATTGAAAATGGTAAAGTTTCAAGTTCACTTAATTTTTGATATGATATAATAAACCAAAATGGATCCTTATAAGAAGATTTAGTCGTCCATGATACACCAATCTGGTGATCAAAACCCAAATGCATGTATTCATGCCCATAGGATTGTTATTGCCAGATCGTTTATGATGATAGGAAGATAGTGTTATATCAGTAGAGCAATTTTAGTAACGATGCTCAAGGTGAAGATGTTATACAAGGTTTTGGTGGGTGTAAGGAACCTAGATTATTCGGATGAGTGATTATGTCAGAATATTTTATACCATTACGAAGTAGCTATAATTCTAATATTCTAACATTTTGATTGATTGATTGTATGTTGTTTTACGTCCCATTGGAGAATTTTTCACTCACATAGAGACATCACCGTATGCTGGCGGATGGCTTCAAATGTAGACCTATACTCGACACAGGGGTGTCTTCCACCTATTCCCACTTTTTAAAAATCTCAATTCCACCTATTCCTACTTGCAAATAACAATAAGTGTTGTGATAGTAAATTTGTTTTTATAGCAATTTGGTTAATTACAGCCCTCCTCAGATTTACCTGTATTTTTACACTCTAAGACAGGGGGAAAAATAAGAGTTTTAGGAAATAAAATAAATTGATTTAAGAAAAAATATGATTTAATGAATTTAAATATCTGGATTTTAGACAATAAAATAAGTAGATTTACGGGGAAAATATTTGAGGCACTTATGTATATGCTTTTAGAATATACACACCTAATAATACAGAGATTTAAGAATTTTATAAAATATTATGAATAGATTTAAGAAAAAATGTGATTTCATTCACTTAGATTTCTGCTTTTTGAATAATATTATGCAAAAGTCCATTTACCTGTCTTCCATCCAAACAGAATTACTCACTGTTTACAAGTAATTATACGTTTATAAATTAGTTTATACAGTTAATTATTGGTTTATACAAGTATTCCACCTATTCCCACATAAAATTTTACCTTTTCCAACCTGATTTTTAAACAGTGGGAATGGCTGGAATTAACCGACACGGCCATTGAGCAGTGAGGGCTCTTTATCGTGCCAACGCCTGCAGTGTCACGGACCTCGGTTTTTAAGGTTTCATCCAAAAGATCTGTGACTTGCATTTCTAGTGCCGAATGCTTGGCGAAAGAGTAGTCACTACCTATGTTTACGTCTTAGGTTTGACGCGGCGCGGCGAACGAGAATCGAACCCTGGCCTCCCAATCACGAAGCGAACGCCCTACAACTAGACTATCGCGACCGGTTCTTAAAATTTTGACGAAGACAATAAGGATGCATTCTATCAATCATGATTCACATTCTGTATGTGGTCTACATTTTCATGATGAGTAATCAAGAAACATTCCAAAGTAAATTGAATTCCCACTTTGACCAGTCTTGCTTGTTGAATCTGGATGCATACAATCATAAATACATCGGATGTATTTTATATGTAAAATTTCTTTCTTAAACTATATATATATGTAGACTGGTAGAAATGTTTCATATTAATTAAGATTTTTTTAAACAAATAGATATGTTCAATCCGATCCATCACCCTTTCGATACATTAAAATGATTTGAAAATAATAATTATTTTACAGAGGAAAGTAAATCTGGAAAAGCCATCAGAGGCCTAAATGCATTTACCAGATTCTCCTGTAACAAAGCATTCAGTGACTTCTTGCAGGATATGAGTGAAGATATGTCAGCTGAAACGACAAGAAAAATGAAAGAACTTTTAAAAGGTTTTTCAGATTTTTAAGAAAATACCATGATCATTTAAAACGCAACACTTATATTACTATGTAGAAAATTGGAAACTTAACAGAGATACCAAATTTAAAAAAAAAAATCTTCAACAAAAAAAAAATTCAGATAAATTTCACTTATTCATGTTTTGACTGAAATTCTTCCATTTGTTTTTTTTTTTACTTTTCATTAAAACTTCTAATTTGTAAAGATCTCCTGAAGCGATTCTTTTTTGCCATTTTTTTTTAAATACATGAACTAAAATCAGCAGTATTCTCTGGTTCCTTCATGATCAAATTTTTATTTATCAGCAAAATGAGCGATTCCAGAACTCTTATTTTTACAATAAGGGTCAATAGAAAAATAATAAAAAAAAATGAATGTAATGAAAACTTTTTTTCTATTTAGGGAAATTATTATTTATTCAGATGAAAGGTAAAAAAAGGTTAAACTTAGCTACACAGTTACTGAGCCGCAACTTTTTACCGAGACACGAGATTGACTTAACTTGTAGTGTTACGAGGAAAACATTATTTAAATACTATTACAAATGTATGTTAAAAAAAAATTCATGCATACTCTTTGTTTCTCGTAGACCGCATGTGTGATCCTGATCCTGAATTAGATGACGTGAGGACACCAAAGAGTTTACTAGAGTACATGGATAATAAGTTCTCTTTGTACAATAATGTATCAATTCTTCAAGCATATGCCTTGGCAATTCAACCCCCTGATGAAAACATGTACAAAAAATGTTTGCAGTACTCAAAGAGCAGAAATGACGAAGTGTTTTACTTTGAAAAATTTAAGTCTCAATTGAAAGGTAAGTATTTAGTTCTCTTTTTAATTTGATTTTTAAATTTATTTATATAAACAGGTTTCAAGTATTTTATTGGATTTATAAATTACTTTACTTACTAGTACTGCATATATTTTTGTAGGCTATGAAAGAGTGGTGTTTCATATTGATTGTAAGAATATCGCTTCATACAATAGAGGGGATCTAGATACACTGCAAAAAGACTTAGCTACATTTCTACGAGCTGAACCAGATGATGTGATACTTGTTGGTATACAAGAAGGAAGCATTATACTCACATTTATGATCAGGGATAAATTAATACCTACCCTGAGGTCGATATTTTGTGAGAGAAATTCATGGAAGTACATAACATATCGAATGCTGATTTTACGGCATCTGACCTTCAGAGTTTTTAAAGTATTTATCACGAATGAAATCGTTTACGAACCAGGTAATTTTAATTACTCAGACTTCCCGTTTATTCAGTTTCTGAAATATTTTGTGATTAATGCTGTGGTTATTTAATTTTGACAAAAAATTAATTCAATGAAATGTTAAAATGTTATACGAAATAGCGGATAAACAGCTGCGTGATGTGAACCCAGAAATGATGCTTGATAAAAGTTCAGAAGGCAGAGATGAGGTAAAAAAGATTTACAGTATTCAGTAATAATGACAGTTAGATTGTAATACTTTCAAAAGTAACAAATACTTTTTGTATATCATATGAACTTGTTATATCAAACCGTTTGTAGAAAAGACATACTCTTATATTAATATTTACTCTTCAATAAAAAAAAAGATATGTATTGTGACGATTAGCTAAATATGATTTTAGAAAGCGAATGCTGACGAAGACAAAAGCAAAAAATGCACAGGTACCGGTATTAGAATTAGAGTTGACTTTATATTGTTTATTGTAATTCTGGTGTATCATTGCCAAAAAATTTTGTCTTTAAATAAATGTCATTATTTATTCAGCGGATGTCAAAGAAGAACACGTAGACCATGAAAGAAATTTGTCGATGACGTCTTTTCTAGAGGAATTGGCAGGTTCAATAACTGACGATATTTTGGCTTCAATGAAAGTCGTCCTAAAGGGTATGTGATTGGCTGTAGAATATAACTTTAATTGTAATTATCTTGATAACAACCTATCAATGAATTGATTTTGAATTTTTTTCTTCATTTTATTTTTGTTTTGATGTAGGTATTGTAGACGAGGGAGTGATGGAGGGATTAAATGCACAGAGACTTTTGAACAACTTGAAAGAGGATTTTAAAATCGAATATAATATCTGTTTCCTGCAATGGATATTTGAGAAATGCTCCGCGCATGAACTGAGCACTAAATGTTCTGTTTTTGCATCAAAGCGTCAACATCTTTTCCCATTGATTTACTTCGATTCAGATTTGTCAGAAAAAGAAGGAGATGAGAGTAAGTGCGGGTTCCAATAAATCATTTATGAATACCTGATAAGGCGGTGCTCAATTTAAAAACATATGAAAACACAAGTTTGGAATCGAATGATCATTTATTAATGAACAAATCACGAAGCAACTAAATATGTTAATACAATAGAATGCACATTACCAAACACATGTAAACACGTTACGTAATAAATATACATGTAGCAAAGTTCATCATTAAGTCTTTAAGCTTACATTATTTTGAAATCAGTTTTGGAAGGGTACAAACAATATTCAGTAAACATAATGCATATTTCATATGTAGGCAGGTGTAACTAAATGTACTTCGCTTGGTCAAGCTGTTTGCAATTACAAAAGTCATAATATATTATACTTTAGTATTGATTTAAACATTTGGGGGGGGGGATGAATTCATGGCTCTTTCAATACCATGGAAACAACAGACATCAAACCCCCTTGAAAATGAGTAATTTCACAGTATATATTTTCATTTATCAAATATCTAAAAAAAAAAAATTAAAACATTTTAAGGCTTTCAATGTATAACAAGGGATGTTGAAGGATGAAATATTACTGTATATTTTCTCATCGGTACTGTTTAATGGTTTTAACTTCAAAGTTTCAGTAAGTTTTGACCATACATATTTGAAACATGGATGATTTTCAAATCAAACTCCCATTGACTGTCAAAAGCGATGAAGAAAGTGTAATACTAAGTACCATAAGAGGAAATCTGTTTCTTAATGTAAATCATATACGGTATCAATTTTGATGCACCAGATGCGCATTTCGGCAAATTATGTCTCTTCAGTGATGCTCATGCCGAATCGATGGAAATCCGAAATATTTGAATTTCACGTTTAAACTGGAATTTTACGTTTGATAAAAAAAGAACGCATTGGTACCTAATATTAAAAGCAATATATTATCAGAAGCTGTTATTAACTAGTGCAATTTCCACTTTAACATGCCTTACTCAATGGTAATTGTGCATTTCTTATAAAAAGAATTTTAAAAAAAATTGAAACAGAGTGACTTCAAACCACTTGGATAGAAAATAACTTAATTCATTCCTGGAAGTAAATAAAATATATAAATATTTTTACAACAATATTTTGGAATTATTAAACAACCCCCCCCCCTCCCCCCTCCATTTCAGCATTCAGTGAGCTTAGACACATGTGTAATTTAACATCTTTGAATAACACAATAATGGTAATTGTACGCTTACATATTGATAACATTCTAAATCATCATGGATAGATGAACTTTAGGAACTGTTTAACAATGTCCTCGACTTTGGAAAAGTGCACAATTTCCTCTGAAAGGAAGGAAAATAATTATTACTCCTATCTCTGCAGAACTTTAAATAATATATGTATTTTATTCCTCCCATGAAGAGAATTATATGAAAAGTAAAAAAAAAATTCATTCACAGCCCTCTATATTTCAAACAATTCAAAAATTTCTTTTCTGGATAATGTATAGTCCTTAAGTAATGAACTTTTTCAAATAAAAAAATCCCATCCCAGCTCAGATTTAAATCTGTCTCCCATCTTAATAAAAGAAATGTAGAAATAGTGTAGAAATAACTTACTACTTTCTGATTTTCTATCTGTCATAACCTTTCAGAAAAAAGTTTGCATATGTCAACACCAAACTTAGTAGCTATTCACAATGTACATCTGTTTTGCAAATTGGTTCACTCAGAAAATAATTTTTTGCATTTAAAAAATCACTTAGACTTTCATCCCTCACTAAAGGCAAAATGATAAAAATTGAACTAAATTACATATTATCATATAAAAAAAATGGTTACATGTATTTCCTTTCTTGTTGGTATTTCAAATTGTTTGTTGCATCTTAACTTTTGGTTTTTGAAGGACATTGCATCAGAGTGTATGTTGAGAAGGAGTTGGAAAAATGTCAGACTGAAGTGAACGATATCAGAGATTTGTTGGCTAAAGAACTTAATGTGGACAGTGGTGAAATGGTCATTGTTGGGCTAGAGAAAGGGTCTGTCACTATTGTATTTAGACTTTTAGAAACGCCTACCACAGAGTTTATGTCACACATCAGCAATGAAACGGATGAGTTTTTAGTCCATTTATCTCGAAAGGGAGTACGAAGAATCAAATGTGGCCAAAGAACAATTAATACCGGTAAGGATTATCATAAGCGAAATACAATCAATAATTATTGTCGAAGAATAAACGATATCACAACCAACAGTTGTAAATATTTTTTGGATAATATCTCTTTTGTTTTTGTAGAAAAGGTTCCGGAATTCATTCATCTCCACTTGATTAATACGCAAGAAGCAAATACTTTAAAAAATGTAAAAACAGCTTTTTCGACAGTACTACACAAAGTGAAGATTTCAATGGATAAACCAAAAGTGTTTCTTCGAACTAAATACAAGCCAAAGCCAACAGGTACACAAAAATATCTTTATTTCAAGCAAGGTTATAAAAGAAATAAGCTAGATTATTGTGTAGATTTTTTTCCCAATCAGATATCATCCAAAACCGATGCCTAAACACATGGGATCGATGGAAAAAATATTAAAATATGTTTACAGAATCTTTCTTTTAGCTCACCTGTATGAAGGGTGTCCAGCGTACATCTGTCGTCTGTCATGTTTCGTCCGTAAACTTTTCATATTTTTGACTTCTTCTAAATAACCACTGGGTCGATTTCATCCAAACTTGCCAAGCACTTGAGTAAAAGGAATTTCAGTTTAATTAAACAAGCATTCTGAGAGTATTGCATGAGCAATACTAGTCCCCTACCGGCAGGTGTAATCTGGTTCTGTTCCCGTTAAGAATTGAAAATGCCATAATTCCGTCAAAAATTAATGAAGCGGGACAAAATGCAAACTTGATCTATAACTAATCAAGGTAAAGCCACATACCAAAAATCAGCTCAATATCTACAAGCGTTTAGAAGAAAATTGCGGAAAACCCATAAAAATTGAAAAGGCCGTAATTCCGTCAAAAATCAATGAAGCGGAACGAAATGCAAACTTGATCTGTAACTCATCAAGATACACTCACATACCAAAAATCAGCTCAATATCTGCAAGCGTTTAGGAAAAAAGTGCGGAAAACCAAGTGGGACAGACTGACAGACAGACAGAGGGACAGACAGACAGACAGACGGACAGACAGACAGACAGACGGACGGACAGACGGACGGACAGACTCAGAGTAAACCTATAGTCCCCTCCGGTTTCACCGGTAGGGGACTAATAAAGGACCACGCCCTTTTCAAGGGGAGCTAATTAAGAATTAATGAAAATTTATTGGCATCTTTTTTAGAATCTTTTTCTCGAAAACCATTGTATCAGAATAGATGAAATTTATGTGAAAGCTTCATTACATACTGTACATTCAAATTTGATCAAATATCATGACCTCCGCCGAGGTTAAGGCAGGGTGAAAATAGGCGATCAAAGTATAAAGGGAAATTCTTAACAAATCTTTTCAAGAACAGTTAAGCCATGATAAGCCACATTTACATGGAAGAATCCCCAGGAAGTGTACAAATCAAGACCCCGGGGCTAGGATGGTGTTATAATACGTATCAAACTTTTACATTGAAATATATTGCAAAAATCTTTAAAAATCTTCTCAAAGCCGCAGAATCTTAAAAAAATCTTCTTCTCAAGCGCAACGTTTTTAATAACAAAGCCATTATTAGTCATATTTATATGGAAACATCCTCAGGCAGTGAAGATTTAAATTTGTTCAAATGATGACCCTCGGGGCTAGGGCGTGGCCACAATCGGTCATCAAATTTTAAAATAGCAATACATGTATGTAGGAAAAATCTTTTAAAATATTCGTAACAACAAAGCCAGCATCAGTCATATCTATTATCTCAACCGAGCTGAAAGCTCAAGTAAGCTTTTCTGATCCCATTTTGAACGGCGTCTGTCTGTTCATTTGTCCATCTGTAAACTTTTTACACATTTTGAACTTCAGAACCACTGGGCCGATCATAACCAAACTTGCCAGAAAGCATCTTTGGACAAAGGAGATTCAAATTTGCTCAAATGAAGGGCCACTTGTTCATTCTAAGAGAGATAATTAACTTTAAAAGGATTAGTGAAAATTAAGTGGCATCTTTTTTAAATCTTCTCAAGAACCACAAAAGGAATAAATTAAACTCTCGTGAAAGCTTCATTACATAGTGTAGTTTCTAATTTGTTTAAATCATGAGCCCTGGGGTAAGGTGGGGGCATCAATGGGCTACTTGTTTAAAATCCAGTTAAAGGAAACAAGGATCTTATTTGTTCAATGAATAAAATATTATCTTCTTATTATGTAGAATTAAGTTTATTTAAGTTACTAGTCCTTCGAACAAGATTAAACCAGTGGTGAACATTTGAATAAAAACAGAGACTGCGCATCAATAGAGTTGTATCACTTTGCTCATATAATTGTGAAATATAGGCCCATTGGTCTACTAATATTAATATATTTCATGAGACTATGATATTAGGACTACAAGTATTTCCACAAATCCAAATTAATTATCAACAGCTTTTTAATATCATAATTTCGAAATTTTGCTTGATCTTCAATAATAAAATTGTTTCAAATAAATGCTTTGTCAAAATACTGTCCTCAAAATGTTTTCCCCTTTTATAGTCATTTTTCCATATGCATGCCCCAATTAATCCGCTAACAAAATTCAAGTAATTATTATAAAATCAAACCGTTCGTCTATTACTTATTCTGCTTGCGGGCAGTGTTATAATAGTATACCATTTAAGAAGACAGCAATCTGAGTTGGAATAACTTTTGTCCAATGCAATGAATTATGTTCAATAAAATATGTTTTTAAAAGACATCTAACAGACGCACATAGTATTTATAAAGACACGATAACATTTAAACAGAAGTCATATAGTCCTTCACAGTCAGCGAGATATTGTGTGTCTTTGAATTTTTAAATTTATGACCAACTCAGCCCAGTCCATTTTGAGTAAATACCAGCTAAAACTATAATTTTGTTAATTTTTCTTTAAAAAACACAAGGGTTGTCATCATTTGATATCTTTTCCAAAGTCATTGTACAGTACATGCAATGTACGTTGCGAATATCTTTAAAACTTTTCCAGGTTTTCATGAGAAAGAGATTGAGCTTTTAGTCGTCTTGCATTTTTGATAACTATCGTAATCACATTAAAATCGTTATACTTAAAGGGGAAAAGTGTAATACCCCCCCCCCCCCCCGATGTAGTTTTCCACAGCAATATGGGGTCGTATGCTCCAGCTTTAAACGTAAATCATGCAATACATCTGGTAAATGACCACAGATATTATACTGGATACAAATTATTTTCTTGTCATTTAACTCTTAAAGACCTGTACATACTACCGATTATTACATCAATGCTATACTGAGCAGTTCAAGTGAACAAATAGATAAGGGTGAGAATGATAAGTCCTCAAGATATACCTATATTTTTCTATAGAGATAAAATCTCTTAACTTTTTTCATTTTTTTTTTACTTGCGTTAATGCAAAGATTTGTTTTCATTCTTACGTAACACTTTCTTTTACTTTAATTTCTTTTGCTTAATTGATTTAAGTTTAAAAAAATCCACAAAAAATCACTCCAGTTAATGAATTTTTAAATATCAATCATGAATGTATTAAAAATAAAGTTAAACCCCTTTCAATCGAAAACGTAACAATATAATTTCTTTGATATGCTGCACATTCATTTTTTAAATAAGAATTTTATTACATATCTTAATACCAATTCATATTAAAAAAGTTTTAAAAAGTATTTCAAATATTGAATGGGAGAAAAATGGAGAGAGAGAGAGAGTATATGAAATATCTGCAGGATGGATTAAAAAATATAAATATTCCTATGGTTGCAGTAAAATTAAAAAAAAAATGAACTGATCTTTAGATAAAAATTAAAAAAAAAAAAAGAAACATTCCCCAGTTTAAAAAAAATGGCACAATGTTAAAATAAACAAAAAATATGTTCCTAGTCTAAATACAGATGATTATAGCCCGACGTTGGACTGAGTTAGTCATAGCCTTAGTAACTCTTGATATTCGGTTGGCGGTTATAGTTCATAGCTATTTTTTAATGTTAGGATTATAGAAAGTCATAATCTCATACTCTATACGAAGTATGCTCTTGACTTAGGGTACAGAATTTACTGTGGTATATGCGATGGTATTAGGCCTCTAAGCATAATTTTTTATTCTTATTACATAATTTTATTATCAGACATAATTGCAAATGACAGCGGCATACTAAAGCGACCATTCTTACTGGAGGAAATGGAACCCATGGAACTTTTGCATGACAAACAAATAAGAAAAACATTTGGAAAGACGGATATCACGAAGATATTGTCAGGTCAAAGCCGAAAGGAAAAAATCACCACTTTCTTAGATACTGTAGAAACCTTTCCTAAGCAGAAAAGAGACGAATTGTGGAAGATGGTATCAGAACACATGCAATGTCCGAAAGACCCATGTAAGGAGAAGAGAAGCTCCATTTTTGTATATAAAGACCAAGGTATTTATTGCTTACCAGTATTCTAATATAACAAGTCTAAATATTAAATGTGTTTCACGCAAAGGAAGCATATTATTTGATGCAGTTAATTGTACATAGTGGTATTTAACTTACGTAGCTGCAGTGCATCCTAAGGGAAGAAAAGGAAACATAATCAAGACAACGTTGTATGTCTTCCCTACTAATACTATTTCTCTAGTAAATTAAGTTGATGCGTACTAGAAACAACATGGTCACCTTTTCTAAACGAAATCAATTAAAGATCACGGATATCCGAAATTTACAGAAGGTTGGGTTTTTATTCATATGTTGTTGTTTTTAGATTCACATTAATTTGTAAAGTTAGAATTAATTTATGTCTATTTGGGGATTTGATTTTACATGTTTTTGCATTGAAATATAAAACTAAAAAAAGGAAATAATAATAATAAAGACTGGTTTGGTAGCATCAATATAAACCTTCACAAGCTCTTTTACAAATTTAGAAAGCAATTCTTTTGTTTATCCTTTGTCCTTATATGAATTGCTTTATTTTGTTTTGTATTTACATGTATAATTAACTAACGTTTCAAAAACGTGTAAATATATTAGTGTCGGCTTTTAAGTTTCAAACTAATTGTATAAGTTTTTGCATGCATGTAACAAAATTGCTTTTTTTTTTATAGAGGCGTAAACAATTTATAAATATTTCATGCCAATAAACGTTATCTTGATGCAAGGTTACAAATGCGCTGAATTTTACCTCTTGGGAGCCTAGTTATATATTACGTGAATTATCAACTTCTTTTCTAGAGGCACTACCAAGTCTTGAAGAATTACTAGAAGAGATTGATACATCAATTATGACCGAAACTTTTGCAAAAATTGGAAATGTACCGGAAGAAATACAACAGAAATGTAACAGTGCTTCAGGAGAAAGTCGCAGAAACAGAGCAGAAGTATTTTTGAACTTTATCGAAGGAAATCATAAAAAGATTTTCGCAGAAGTTTGGAATCATCGCCAGAAATATGAATGAGAAATCGTTCTTTAATGAGGCATTTTGTGTATTTTTTAAATTAATATAAAATATTTCAGTGGATTTTTATTGAAGTGATGTATTGTTTATGTATTTTTAACTTTTCGTTTATATAGCTGTAGATACTTCTTCTTATACCTTCTTTATTCGTAGTTTACCATACAAAAATGGCAACTTTAACAGGAATAAAACGAAATTGATTCAGGGGAGGGGATGACAATTTGGAAGATTCAAATGCTAAAAATTGATTCAGATGAACACTGCGGATTTTTTTTGTATAGTTCTATTGGTAGTTAAGTTTGTACATATTCACACACCTTTTTTAAGGACTGTGTTAAAACTTAATTTGCACTGCAATGCTGATTGATTTTGTTGGAGTTTTAACTCTTGTGTTAGTGACTTTGACACCAATGCAGGCAATCAGTGTATGATATACAGGACATTCGACTGGATCTTTTTTAATATTTGAAAGGTTAATGGAGAAAGTGTGCAAGTTCATAATTCATTGGGCAAAGAAAATATATAAATGTTTTAACTTTGAACATATTACAGTTGAAAAGCTTTGGATATATATATAGAACCCAAAAATGAATTCTAATTACGTTTTCACGTTTTCGTCATACATTTGGTGTGTCTTATAACCATGATGTACTAGTATGTGTCAAAACATATCTTTTTAAAGTTGTATTTTCATTTTTTGGAAGAAAACATACTTCAACTGCTTCCATTTATTTCAATTTTACCAACCTATGATTTAACATATCTGCCCCTTAAACATTTTGTCTGTCCTTATTGCATGCGTATGCACATTTGTTGTTTTTTTTTGCGGGGGGGGGGGGTGTTATCATGTGCATAACATTTCTGTGATGTAGTTCTATCCATGATAAGTAAGTCTTTGTTCATATGTTTAGATTTACAAGTATCATTTCATTCTCTAAAAAAGTCTGCTGGGTCATACATTTCATTTGTTGCTTATGAACATTTGCGTTTAAGTGAACATCAAGATAGCATTGACTTAATTGTAATCTGTTCTCATCTTGTCATTCTCATTTGAGAAATTAAAAAAAATTATTCAAATGAGCAAGTCTATCAATATATTGCCAAGTAATGCATATATATATTTAAAAGAAGACAACAAAAGAAAATAAACCTTGCAGTTATGAAAACCTTGTAGTTATGAATAGAACTGGGAATACATATTTTTTTTATTCTCAGTTTGATACTTTTCATCCCTTTTCTTAAAAGTAAATGATTGATTATTAAAATATATCTAATTGGTAAAAACAAAAAATCTATCTATCGATCGATCGATCGATCGATCGATTGATTATTCGTTCGTTCGTCAGTTCAATAAGTAATGATTACTACTCAAGAAACCATACAACGAAATAGTCTTTCATTTTTAGTGTACAGTTGTCCCCCACTTTCTTGAATGCGAGGGGACATTAAATCTTAAAATGTTATTCGTCTGTCTGTCTGTTAGTCTGACACAAAAAATTCAACCTTGATCATAACTTTTTCGTATTGCATGTGTGCATTATCTGTGACAAGATCTTTTCAGATATACTGTGATTTTTGACCCATTGACCTTGAATTTTAATCTACTTTTTTCTTAAAATTGATAAATTTTTTGAATGAGAGAAGATACGGCTTTCATAATTTATATGTTTAGTACCTATGACAATATCTTTCAGAAAGATCTATCAATTGACTTCATGACTTTGACCTAGAAGTTTTGCTTTGGCCATAACTTATGCTACAGAATAGATGGGGCTTTCATATTATTTTCACATGTGCATTAGTTGTATTATGCTATTTGACCTCATGACCTTGATTTTGAAATTTTATGCAGTTTTGAGAAGCTTTAATCTTTACCTTTACTTTTATTAATCCAAAAAATTATATCTTTTTAGGTCACCTGAGTCACTCAGCTGACCTATTGCTATCCGTTTCCGTCCGTCGGCGTGCGTCGTTTGTTAACATTTGAATATTTTTAGCTTCTTCTCTGAAACCGCTCAACCAATTTCAACCAACTTTGGCATATAGCATTTCTGGGTGAAGGGGTACAAAAATTGTGAGTGTCAGGGTCCCTGCCCCCCTGGGGCTTGAGCGGTGGGGCTAAAACCACCAAAAATAATGCAATCTTTAAAAATCTTCTTCTTTACTCCTGGACATCAAGCAGTCAAACTGTTGGCATGATTGTAATGAGCATTGAGCCCTCTACCAAAATTGTGAAATTCATGGCCCCAGGGTCAGGGGTTCTGGTGCTAGGGTGGGGCTATATAGATCATATAGAGAAAGTGCATTATTTCTTTGAAAATCTTCTTCTCTTCTCCTGGGTATTAAATAAAGTAACTAACTACATAGTTATGAATAGCAAGAGTGCCTCTTCCAAAATTGTGAAATTCATGGCCCCAGGGTCAGGGGCTCTGGTGTTAGGGCGGGGCTCTATTGTTTATAAAGTGAAAATGCATAAATTCTTTAAAAATCTTCTTTGCTCCTGGGTATTAAATAAAGTAACTAAGTACATAGTTATGATGAGCAAGAGAGCCTCTTCCAAAATTGTGAATTTCATGGCCCCAGGGTCAGGGGTTCTGGTGTTAGGGCGGGTCTCTATTGACTATATAGTGAAAATGCATTAATTCTTTGAAAATCTTCTCCTCTGCTCCTGGGCATTAAGGTGATAAGCTAAGACATAGTTATGATGAGGAGGTGGGCCTCTTACAGAATTGTGAAAGTCATGGCCCATTTAAAAATCTTCTCTGCTCCTGGGTATTAAACAAACTTACTGAGTACATAGTTATGATGAGCAAGGATCCTCTTCCAGAATTCTGAATTTCATGGCCCCTGGGTCAGGGGTTCTGGTGTTAGGGTGGGGCTCTATATAGTGAAAATGCATTGATTCTTTGAAAATCTTTTTCTCTGCTACTGGAGATTATTTAAACAAACTCAGTGCATGATTATGATAGGCAAGGATGCCTCTTCCAAAATTTTGAAATATATGGCCTCAGGTTTGGGGGTTCTTGTGGAGTGGGGGGGGGGGGGCTCTATTGATTATATAGTGAGAAAGCATTAATTCTATTAATTAATCATTAATTAATCCTGTCTGCTTCTCAGTGTTGAGCTTACGAATTAATCTCTGCTTCTGGGCATATCGGAAGCAAACTGAGTAAAAGTTTTAATGATATAAGGAGGGTTATTTTTACCAGATTTTTGAACATCTCGATCATTTGGTTAAGCATTCTGGTCCTGGGCAGGGCTCTATTAATTTGTATTCTACTGAGAGAAGTTATTCCCTTTTCCATTCACCTTTGATAATTAGTCAATGTAAATAATGTATTTGAAAGGTTAATAGAATAAGATAATTATGCAAGAATTTTTATTGTATAATTAAAAAAGTACTTTCTTAGTTTTAATAATCAGGTAGACCTGTAAGTAATAGAAAAATGAGACAAACATAACTTATCTTATTAAAAGTTCTTCAAAGACCATAAGAGAGGTCAATGTTAGAGGTCTTAATTATATGGGTTTAAAAATAGTACAAAAACACTAATAGTTTGTTAATAGTCTGCATGGTGATAGTGTTAAGTGGGGGACAGATTAGAACATAATTTATGAGTTGATACTGAATACTAGACTAATTATTTTGTTGATCCTGATCTTCCTACTTCTCTTGGTTTAGGGCATGCAACAAAGCTTCATCTATCAGTGTATTTAACTTCTAAATTGTTGTATTATACTCAGGTGACCGTTAAGTCCCTTGGGCCTCTTGTTTGTATTATGGACAGACAAAAAGGGAAAAACAAACAAGACAGTTACCATATGCCATATATAATTGCATCCCAACCACTAAGACCCCAAAAGCGGGGGCCACAAGTCTTAATTTGCTTGTTATTAATTTTTTCTACGATTTTCTATTTGTATTCTATAATATAGAATACAAATAATGAAAATAACTTTCAAATACAAATAATGGAAATAACTTTCCATTTGTATTTTCTATAATTTTACATTTCTTTTGTATAATTTTTTTTTTATTTGAATCGTGTACTTTTTCATTTGTATTCTGTTATTTTCTATTTGTATTCCATAATTTTCCATTTTTATTGAATGAAATTCCATTTGCATCGTATATTTTTTCAGATATATAGAAAAATGCAATAAAAATGGACACTTAAAAAATACAAAAGGAAAATTATACAATACAAATGAAAACTTATACAAAACAAATGGAAAATGATACAATATAAATTGAAAATTGTACTTTGCATACAAAGTGAAATTCCTCAATATAAACGAAAACTTTTAGAATACAAAAGGAAAATCAAACAATAAAGATGTATTAATATACATTTACAAATGAAAAATTACACAAAACAAATGAAAATACCTACAATACAGATGAAAATTTACATAATAAAAATGAAAAGAAAATTATACAATACAAATGGAAAAGATCGAACATTGCTACGTTTAAAATGCCATACTGATGAAGTATACTTGTATATGAGCTACTAATGATGAAACTACTGACAGTAATGCACACATTGCATAATGGGTAACGAAAACGCTTATCTTGAGAGAATTGATTTCTCTAGGAATCAGTTCTACGTGTACTATAATAAAATGGAGGCATATTTATTGAAAAAATGGTATGTTGATATTAATAGATTTTCTTTGTATTTTGAACTATTTCCAACAGCAATTTAGTAGGGAATGTGTCCTTTGCGTCAAATCTCTTCCCACTAATGCCAAGGACAAAGTCCTTAAGTAAGAGAGAATGGTCCCTTTATTAGTTACCAAATCTTTCTCAATTTGTAATAGTCAAACACTGGTGGATATTTCTGATATAAAATCACGTTAAACATCACCTAACTCAGCATGGATTTTAAACAATTGGAGATTTTTAAATGCCTATAGATAACCCTAAATCCGGAAAAGTCGTACCGAACCTATTTGAGTTCGTCTATTTAAATCAGGAGGAGGAGACATTTAAATAGACACTTGAACAATCTGGTGGGTGGATCATCTACGGGCACGTTTGCAGAATAATACGTCTTACGTTATTTTATCTATTAAAAAAATCGAATAAAGTTGTATAGTTGCCTGTAGCCATAGTGGTCAAACTAAATTACATTTGAAATAATATAACAAATATTCACATTATTTTCTTAACCACTTTTAAATTACAAAAGGGTATTTAGGTGTATAGAGTGAACTGTATAGAGTACTACTGTACTACCATTTAAAAACATAGTTATCGATGTTATTTAAAACCAGTAGAGCTGAATATATTAGTAACAATGAGTCTTAAAGTTTGTGCAAATCATTTTCATTTAGTGTTGTAATCATTAACTTAAAATAGTTATTGATTATTTTTTTTCCATCTGTATTTTTAAGAAACCAATTAGAAACAAACTTTGAAGCTTTAATAGGTTAACCTGATATCAGATATATGTAATTTATTGCTTTCATTCATTACTGCGTAAAACTATTGCGTTCAATACTGGTACCATCGTCTTTCATTAATGTTAAAAATGTTTGACTTTTTTTTTTTTTTTTTTTTTTTTTTTTACGTATGATGGCATTTTAAACGACACTTAACTCTATATACCCTCCCGTTTTTCATAAAACCAAATACATAGAGGATATTCAATGTTTTGTAGTTGGATATGGAATTTATTTCAGAAGTAGGACAGGATTTTTTTTTTTATATTTTCATATTTGATTCCGTAAACAACTAGTAATATTATCCTATCGTCTTTCACCGTTTAAACTTTAGTCATTCAGTGCGGATTTCATTCAATATGGTTGACCCG